TTCTCAAAGCGGAGAAGGGAGGTTTGCAACCAAGTAACGTACCGGTGGCAGAGGCATCTGCTAGGAGGGTCAAAAGAGTTAAGATGGCAGCCACAATGCACATAAAAAGGGTGGCTATGCTTGGCGCAGTTTTCCCCAATATCGTGCAATTTATATATTACTTTTACAAGTATTTCTTTTCTTCTAAATCTACATTGCGACATTAAGAAAATTACACATTGCATTTTAGGTTGTATAATAGGTTAAAAATGCAAAAGAAGCTTCAGGGGCATTGAAATCATGTCCTGCTCTTTCTTTAGCTGAATGGAACTGCGTAACAAATCTGGCATACGTGTGTTTTTAATTATCAGATTTTTGGGGGGCCAATATTTCTACCGACTTGGGCTAAATCCCAAAGACTGATGAAGTAGAATAACCAGAAATGGCATCTGAGCAGCCAGACTGATGTTTAGAATTACAGAATAATGTTTCTGAGGATATATTCAGCCCAGGAATGGATTTTTAGCCCCAGAACTGAACTTAACAGTTTTTTTCATCCACAGATGCCCTTCTGCTCCCTTCCCTGCATTCTATGTGGCCCAATCTAATGTAGAGCTTTTAGTATTTACTACCAGATTGGTATAGTGCAGGGGTAGGCAACCTTGGCTCTTTTATGACTCGTGGACTTCAACTCCCAGAATTCCTGAGCCAGCTGTGCTAAGGGGAAAGGGAGAGGTTTCCAAGCTGAGCCATGCTGGCTCAGGAATTCTGGGAGTTGAAGTCCACGAGTCATAAAGCGGCCTAGGCCTAGGCCAGAGGTGTTACCTAACCTTGGCTCTTTTACGACTTGTGGACATCAACTCCCAGAATTCCTGAGCCAGCGTGGGGGAATTATGGCCCCCTTTATGACTCGTGGACTTCAATTCCCAGAATTCCTGAGCCAGCCATGCTGAGGGGAAAGGGAGAGGTTTCCAAGCTGAGCCATGCTGGCTCAGGAATTCTGGGAGTTGAAGTCCACGAGTCATGAAGGGGCCAAAGTTTCCCTCATGCTGGCTCAGGAATTCTGGGCGTTGAAGTCCACGAGTCATAAAAGAGCCAAGGTTGCCCACCCCTGAACTACACCAATGGTGTAAAACTCTCTTAAATCATCTTAACTACTGTTGCTTTCTAGGTCTTATTCTAGATCAGAAGAGAGTAGCACATCGGAAAAAACAAGGTAAGCCTCTAGAAAGCTGATCTGGGCAACCTGCAATCTAGAAGCACATTTTGCTTTTGGAAAAGGTGAGTTTATTTCGTAAGAGCAGCAGCTGCTCTAGGCAAAGCCTGTTCCATTTTAATTCTAAATAGACAGAAATGAAGGGCTGCCAAATCCAGATGCTTGGATGGCAAAATGTTCCTGGACCTTCTCTGTCCCGTCTGATAGAATTGGTATCTAAGGGGGGGGGGGGAGCTTTTATTTATCAGCCTGAGAAAGGGTTGTGTGTTTTCTTCCCTTCTCCTTATTTTCAAAACAACAAAGCAAACAGTTGTTGGATGGGTAATTCTCGCAATGTTCTTTAACTAAGACTTATCTCTTCCTTTAAATTTCAGCTAAACCGGACCTGATGTGAACGGAGGAAAATTACACCGCTGCTTTCCATGGAAGAAAAGAGAAAGCAAGATCACTGCACATTGATGTACACATGCCATCTAATAAATCACTGTTTAAAGCACGAATGGATTGACTTTCTAGGTTCCACTTTAGTATGGATGTGGGTCTCACACACACACCTCAATTATTTTGGGGCTCAACTTTTTAATCAACTCTTAACAGGCCACAGTGCCAAGAGTCTGCAAGCCTATTGCATGTGGGTTTTTTTTGCAGTTAGAGTTGTCCTTTTGCTATCTCCAAGTAAGTATCCTGTGTGCCTCACAATCCTCTTTTTGCATCAGTAAAGGGCCTGAAAATACAAGTAGCCCTTGACTTACAACACTTCATTTAGTGACCGTTCAAAAGTACAACGGCACTGAAAAAAGTGGCTTATGCCTCTTTTCAACACTTCTAACAGTGGAAGCATCCCCATGGTCACGTGATCAAGGGGCCTGAATTTCTGTGCAATAATTCAAAAGTAGGCAAAATGGGCTTCCAAAAACATTTTCAGCCTAGCAAGTAAAAATACCCCCATTTTGTTTCTCTTCTCATCTTGCTCCTCTGACAGTGGAGATACTGCAGATGAACGAATTGGATCCTCACGGCTCTAAGGCTTAGTCCTGCGAGACCCGGGGCCGGTGCAGGAGTGCTGCAAAGTTTAAAAAGAGATTTCTGTTTGCAAGAAAAAAAGACAACCCAGACCTTTGGCATTGCGCAATGCAACATAACCCCCAGTGGCTCCCTTGCCTTTAAGCAGCTTGAGCAGGACTCCAAAGCTCCTAGTTCACCAGGTCTGGAGCAATAGCGCTTCCCTCAGGGTTTGGGAATGATGGGGTATGTAGTCTGACACGTTCACAGAGGGTCAGTGGCATCTGGGTGCTGGGATCCCACCATTGGTTTTCTATCTGCCCAAGGTGCTCATTCCACAATGAAAGCCACTCTGGTGCATGTGGAGCGATCCTCCTGGGCTCTAGGCCCCAGGGCAGAGCGAAGAAGTCTCCATCATCATCATCATCATCATCATCATCATCATCATCATCATCATCATCATCAGTGCTGCAGGTGCCAAAAAGGCCAACACAGTGCTAGGCTGCACTAACAGGGATAGAATCAAGATCACGTGAAGTATTAATACCACTTTACAAGGCCTTGGTAAGGCCACACTTGGAATCCTGCATCCAGTTTTGGTCGCCACGATGTAAGAAAGATGTTGAGACTCTAGAAAGAGTGCAGAGAAGAGCAACAAAGATGATCAGGGGACTGGAGGCTAAAACATACAAGGAACGGCTGCTGGAATTGGGGATGTCTAGTCTAATGAAGAGAAGGACGAGGGGGGACATGATAGCAGTGTTCCAATCTCTCAAGGGCTGCCCCAAAGAAGAGGGAGTCAAGCTGTTCTCCAAAGCCCCTGAAGGCAGGGCAAGAAGCAACGGATGGAAACTCATCAAGGAGAGAAGCAACCTAGAACTAAGGAGAAACTTCCTGACAGTTAGAACAATTAACCAGTGGAACAACCTGCCTCCAGAAGCGGTGAATGCTCCAACACTGGAAGTTTTTAAGAAGAGACTGGACAGTCAATTGTTTGAAATGGTGTAGGGTTCCTGCCTGAGCAGGGGGTTGGACTAGATGACCTCCAAGGTCCCTTCCAACTTATTATTATTATTATTATTATTATTATTATTATTATTATTATTATTATTATTATTATTATTATTATTATTATTATTAATGATAATGATGATGATAAAGTTGGAAGGGACCTTGGAGGTCATCTAGTCCAACCCCCTGCTATTATTATTATTATTATTATTGTTATTGTTATTGTTGTTGTTGTTACTACTACTACTACTACTATCACCATCATCATCATCATTTCTGGATCCCGAGCGCGCCTTCCCTTACCGGATGCCTCTTCCCACGCGGAGCAGCAAGAACGCGCCGGCCGTCGAATGTCCAGGCGCGGACAGAAGCGTCCGGCGGCTACCGCGGAGTTCGGGCGCGTGGAAGCGCCGCGCCGTTCTCATTCCTCCGCGCCCGTTAGCGGTCGCCTGTGGCCGCCGGCGCGCCGCCTGTCCGGCCGCCCGCGATGGCCCTGCTAGCGCTGCCCTTGGCCCTGCTCGCCGTCTCCTTCGTGGCCCCGCAGGGTGAGTCCGCTGCGGGCCCCGGGATGGCGGAGCTTGGCCTCCCCAGTGGCAGGGCTCGGCGGGCTGATGGGCTCCTTTGGGACCCTAGTAACAACCAGGGCTTATTGTGGTGGGGGGGTCATCATCTTCTTCGCAGGGGTAGGCAACCTTGGCTCTTTTATGACTTGTGGACTTCAACTCCCAGAATTCCTGAGCCAGCTTGGCTGGCTCAGGAATTCTGGGAGTTGAAGTCCACAAGTCATAAAAGAGCCAAGGTTGCCTACCCTTGTTTTATGGGGACAGTCATGCCACCCTTGAGGTGAGGCTTCCAGCAAGTTTGAACAGATAGGATAAAAAACACCACCCTCCTCCTCTTCCTCCTCCTCTTCCTCCATATATTATTGGTTTGCTTCTCCCCCTGCCAATCATGTGACTCGGTGGTGGTGGCGGCAAATGCAAAGTGTCCACAGTGCAATTAACATATAAAGAAATGGAATTTAACCCATGGCAAAGAAACTCCAAAAACGAGTGTTGTATAATAACAATGCTCTTGGCAATGTTATGTAGGTTGAACATTGATGTAAGGCAGTGGTTCTCAACCTTTTTAATGCCGCGACCCCAACCGGTCGTAAGTCGAGGACTACCCAACCGGTCGTAAGTCGAGGACTTTCCCTGCCCGGGAGCGCCACGCATGCGTGGTTCTGCCCCCTGCGCCAGCCGAGGCATATCTGGCAAGCGGCAGAGATGGAGCAGGCCGACCACCAGCTGGCCCAGCCCAAGGGAGGTAAGGCACCCGCCGGAAAAGGGGAAAAAATGGCGGACAAAAAAAATGGCGGACAGCCTTGCTTGGCGACCCCCATGAAATGGTCAATCGACCCCAAATGGGGTCCCGACCCACAGGTTGAGAACCACTGATGTAAGGGATTATGTGCCATCAAGTCAACGTTGACTCCTAGGACCGCATAGACAGATGTTTCTCCTTGATAATCTATCCCCAAGATAGAGGATCAATGTCCCCATCGCCTCTGTAACTGAGCCCGTCCGCTTATCCCCACTGTAACTGAGCCCATCCACTAACCGCTGGTCAGACCTGCATTGATTAGCTATGGAAATTTTGCTTGATTAGCAGTGGAAATTTTGGGCTCAATTGTAGCCAAATTTTGCATGATTAGCAATGGAAATTTTGGGCTCAATTGTAGCCGTAAGTCAAGAACTACCTGTACATGATTATGAGAGTCTTTCTCCTGCCTAGGGTCTCAGCGGTCATTTCTGCAGGTGATTGTTCCTCAGAGGAACCCAGCTCACGCCACTGGAAATAAGGTATTTCTTGGTTTTTGCCTAGTCTGTTGTCAGTGTTGCTAAACTCACCTTTTAACCTAACCAGGAGTGTCCAACCTTGCAAGCCTCGGAAATAGTGGACTGAGGAATACTGGGAGTCGCAGTCCACAAGTCTTCAAATTGCTGAGGCTGGACATCCCAGATCTAGGCCATCCTCTCACAACTGCCTTCATAAAAAGTTTACGTGACTAATGTAATTGGCTTTTTGCGGGCCTCTTTTTGAAGATGACTCGAAGCTATTGTGTGTTCAGAGCACAGTACTCAGTAACAGTAATGACAATATATATTGACTAGTTCTCCGACCATATCAAAATGATACAAAAATAATACAGAGTGAACAGTAGGATGTACAGTATTCACAATACATCGTTACCTCTGCAAACAACCCCAGTCTGTTGTAAGTAGTCTATCCTCTTCAAAATGGTCTTTGATATGAGAAGGGCAGTCTTGTTAGTGATGGGCAGGTTTGTTCTCTTTGATAAAGTGAAGAAGCAGCTCTATTCTTCTTGATAAAACCTTTTGCATCACAGCAAAAGCCTGTGATGGGATGGTCTGCATTCAGCTGAAAATCATTTCCAGCCAGCGGTAAAATTTACTTTCAGCTGTACATTCTTTATAGACCTGAATGGTTTGTGCTGCTTGGATTTTTGCAATATGAATAAAACAACAGCAATAACATAACAAACCCTTTGGCTGTTTCAGGAGAGGATGTCATTTGATATGAACATAGAAGGGGAATCCTTTTCAATTTATCTGAAGCAACAGTGAGTAAAGGAAATAATTGGGAAGTACTGCCTGCTTTGTAGCTAATGTGTATGTTTGCATGAATGCTTAAGGAACCACGTAAATGGTTTAAGAGATTTCAAGGCTTGTCTACACAAGGAAGAAGGAAATGACCCCCAATTCTGTTCTGCAGAAGAAATGAATTTGTTTTCAGAAGTAAATTTTCCTGGCCCTGGTTGAAAAAAAAATCTCATTTTAAGAGGAAGAGGATAAAATATTAATACAGCTGTCATTGGCTTATGTATCTTGAAATAGCTGATAAGGGGTAGTTCAAAACAAGAAGGAGTGACTCTTTCTCTCTCCCTTTTAGTTTATGCTGAAACATAAACTATTACTTCTATTTCTTCTTCTTCTTCTTCTTCTTCTTCTTCTTCTTCTTCTTCTTCTTCTTCTTCTTCTTCTTCTTCTTCTTCTTCTTCTTCTTCTTCTTCTTCTTCTTCTTCTTCTTCTTCTTCTTCTTCTTCTTCTT